CAATTTAAACAAATATTATGTTACCTAAGCAACGGTTAACAACAACAAAAAAAAAACAACATTCTATTAACATTTTCATTTTTTCTTTGTTGCTAGATATTTATAATCTGTTGTAACTAATCATCTTTAATGTTTTGAAACAAATTTGAACAAGATTCCTAAAGAACAATTTGCATAATTGCAAAACACTTGCATACAAATTCATCACCGACTAATGACTAATAAATATTCCAAATTTGATGAGAATGTCTACAACAGATTGATACGTCATATTTGCATAAGCTTCTTTATATTAATCGTAATTTAAATAATTTGACATTAATTTTATTAAATATCAACAGGAAAAGTTTTTTCAATCAACTTTTATCCGCACATCCTATTGAGATTAATTTACACACTTTGACCTATTCCTTTATATATTTACGATCCATGCCTTTCAAAGTAATCACAAATCATTTAGAAAATATTTGTTTAATCATAAAGAATTTAATTGATACTTATTTTTCGACTTTAAACTCATGTTTTTGCATCAATTATTTTTAAAAAAGAAATCATGTTTTTGTTATATCAATAGAAGAATGGGTGATTTGTACATTTAATAAACTTATTGTAAAGGGTGTGCCAAAATGAACGCAAGATTTGAATTTTCCGCCATTTGTGCAGTATGATTCAATAAAAAAAAATCACAATCTGAAGACTAAAAACTTTGTTTTCTATTTAATTCAAATCTTGCGTTAATTTTGGGACACCTTTATATAGAACAAAATGAAGACTTTTACTAATAAAATTTGACAAATTCGATCATTTAATGATTATAAAAGATCCAAATCATTATTTAAGCTCTTAATAATGTTCATTAATATAATTATCGAAGTGATTTCTATTCTTAGATCCGCGGTTTATCAAATAATGACGGACGATTTAATAAAGTTGAACGATAATAATAACAATCTTTTTACGACTTTCTAATTGCACAAATCTGTTCAAACAGTCTAATTATAGAATCTGTTCATCGTTCTAATTGCTTTTAAAGTTGAGGAAAATTACAAATAAATATCTGTTTACCAAATCCATAATAAATCTAAATGTTTCCAATTATATTTTCAACAAATATTTAAATTTTCATTTTATTTCCTTCTTACGTTCGACTTTCTTTCTATTATTATGATATTATAATTAGATTTTTATCGTTTTATTTAGCAGAACGGAACTTGTATCATTGAAAGTTTTGTTTTATTTAAAAAATAAATAAATAAAATAAACGGCATTCCAATCTACAGACATTCCATTGAAAACCAATCTCTACACTCTGCAAAACTGATCCATTCTATAATACTTTCACTTATCAGATTACAGTATTGCAGCATGTAAGTTTAATAAAAGTAAAAGAACGGATGGAAGTAATGAACAAAAAAATAAGTTGCAGAAAGAACAAGTAAAAAGTTGTTGGTCCAACGTACGCATCGAAATTATTGATGCCTGGGGACCTTTCTAAAGCAGATTGAAACGGTTTCTTTTTTAAAAAAATTGTTATCCGTGGAGAATGGTAATATAATATAGTGGAGCGATTATATTTTCTGTTTGCATTTCATTACGTGAATTATTTACTAAACACTCCAGATCTAAAAATAACGTTGAGTAAGTTTTCTATGTATTCTCAATGATCTGAAAAAACTAGCTATTAACTATTTAAACTTTTAACATAGTTAACAATAAAATTACATTGAAAATAATGTTATTTCTTTATCATATTTTAAGTATTTACCATTTTTCTTTTAAATATTAGACTTCTTAATAATCAAGTAACTACTGTAGATCTGTATATAAAGTTGAGTAAGTTTTCAGTGCATTCTCAACAGTCTCAACAACAACAACAAAAAAACAACCGTTGTCTCACAACTATGAAGTTAATAATAAAGAGTAATTAAAAATAAAACTATTATTAATAAATTTTCGATGTTTTCTCTTTAAAACATCATATTTCAACTATTTACTAAATGAAGAGGAATAATGTAGGAAAATGTTAAATAGTGAAATAATTTACTCTAATTAATGTAATTTCGTTTGAATATACATAGAGTTTGAATATACATTGATACAAGTAAAAATTCGGTTCCCGAACAAAAATTCAAAACCCACAAACAATATTACGAAAATTGATTAGTAAGAAACGATGATTTTTTTCATGGCTTAAGAAAGTTATTCAAAATCTAAAAGAATGTATGAAAATTGTAAAAATAAACATTAAATTTTCAAAATTTCATATATTTTTTTAGTAGTTGCAATAAATATTTTAGTATATTGTTAACAATGTTTGTATTTTCATTGTTCTTTGTATATAATTTTGAACAATCACCTTATATTTATTCAATAACTGATTATATACATTTTACATTAATTATTATGAGGAATTTTAGAAGAATTCGGTTTTCGAACTATCTTTAGAAACAAATAATGTTCGACAAATTATATTTCAAAGTTATTTAATGCACATAGATTCGAAATTGCAAAATTTCTGCTTTCGCTTCATAAAAATAAAGTGGAGTTATTCTTTTATTTATATTTTAAATACATTTATTTCTTATATTGTTTAAGATTTTTTATATATTGAATTGTTTTTTTATAAGATTTTAAACAATCACTTTGAATTCATTCAATAAACGATTTTTTATTATCCATTTTGCATTGATTCTTATAAGAAATTTTAGAACAATTCGGTTTTCGAACTTCCTTTAAACACGAATCCTATTCGACAACCGAATATAACTATAAATTATAATTAACAGTTATTTTTCCACTTGTTTTAAACTATCCTCATTGCTCGCAGCAAGATTACGAAATCATTATTTAATTATAATATGCATCCTGCATCTAATTGATAAATTCTAATCGAAAGACTATCGAAAACCTAGATAGTAATGTCAAATGTGAAGGTTGCAACTGCGCTCAATCTACGTAACGCGACGATCTTTCCTCTTATTTATTTGGGGAAAAGTCACCTGCATCAAAATTTCTACGAAAGAATTTTTGACTTTTGTTTTTTCTTTGAATTTCGACGTTGCAAAACCGGCGACCTTCGCACGCCTTAAATTAAACTTTTATTTTTGTTTCTTATTGATTCATGCATTGCCGTAACACCGTTGGTTGGCATTTCTCAAGTCGCGATGGAATTTCACATTAAAATCGATTGAACTTTTGATAACGTCGCTGATTAAGTAAAGAAACAACAGTTTTGTTGTCGTTCAATTTGTGTCAATTAATTATAAACATCGAGAAAGTTACATTTTATCAATATGTTTTACTTTAATTGATTGAAATTTGATTTTAATCTTGCAGAGAAATGTCTGTTTGTGAATGATTCGGTTTCCGAACAAAATTTTAGAAAAAGTACAGAAAATTATGAAAATTTGTTAATAAGAATCGATAATTTTCTCACAGATTAAAGAAAGTTTATCAATCTTTCTTACTTTAATTGATTTTAATTTAATTTGTATATACAGTGGAACATGACTTAAGAAATAATTCGGTTTCCGAACAATTTAAAAAAAAAAACAGAGAATATTACGAAAATTGCTTAATAAGAATCATTGATTTCATCACAGTTTAAGAAAGTTAATCGATATTTTCTTACTTTAATTGATTTGAATTTAATTTGAATATAAAGTAAAACAAGAGTTCATAAATAATTCGGTTTTCGAACAAAATTATAAAAAAAAACAAAGAAAATTACGAAAAATACGAAAATTGCTTAATTAGAATCATTAATTTCATCATAACTTAAGACAGTTAATCAATCTTTCTTACTTCAATTGATTTTAATATACAGTGGAACATCAATTCTCGAATAATTCGGTTTCCGAACAAACATTTTGAAATAACAAAGAATATTACGAAAATTGCTTAATTATAATCATTGATTTCATCACAGCTTAAGAAAGTTAATCAATCTTTCTTACTTCAATTGATTTAAACTTGATTTACATTTTACAATGGAACATCAGTTCATGAATAATTCGGTTATCGAACAATTTTAAAAAGAAAACAAAAAAAATACGAAAATTGCTTAATAAGAATCAATGGTTTTACCAAAGCTTAAGAAAGATTATCAATCTTTCTTACTTCAATTGATTTTAATTTGATATGAATATACAGTGTAACATCAGTTTATGAATAATTCGGTTTGCGAACAAAATTATTAATACAGCAAAGAAAATTACGAATGTTGAATGAATGATTTTATCACAGCTTAAGAAAGTTTATCAATATTTTCTTACTTCTATTGATTTAAATTTGATTTGTACAAGTATATACAGAACATTACTTCATAAATAATTCGGTTTTGAACAAAATTAAAAAAAAATAACAATGAATGTTACGAAAATTGCTTAATGAGATTCAATGTTTTTATCACGGCTTAAGAAAGTTAATCTTTTTTTCACTTAAAAAAGTAATTTTTCTCTATGTTGAATCTATTTATTCATTAAAAAACATATTTTACGCATAAATCCTAACAGAAAAATCATTGTTTCATAACAAAGTTAACATTTACAAAGAAATTAAAATAAAACGTATAACTAAACATAACATAATTGTTAACTAAATCTATCTGTTTATAACTTGTTTTAGTAGTAAAAAAAATACGTACTAATATAAACAAGTTTCATAAATAAACTAAAATTTACAACTTAACAACCATAATAACATCAAAATATTCGCCACAAAAACAGCAAAAATTCCAAATTTGTTATACAACTATCAACAAACAAAGCTGGTTTTCAAGGATATTAAAATGCAAACGATTTGCATTTCAGAATGGAAATATAGTAATAATTGTGCCAAAAAAAATAAACGTAAATAATTTCAAGGATGTAGTAGTAAAAATGGATCATTGCCATCCATCATCGTCGTCGTTATCATTCAAAAAAACGTGGACCAATTAATTAAGAATTAGAATTAATCAAATTTATTGTACTAATTGTCTTCTCTTTTTTTCGTTTCAGATATTGCACAGCCAATGGCTTTTGCTTTTCGTCACCGTTTTTACGGTTATTAGCCAAATAGGTCAGTACTTGTTTATTTTTTTTTATTATTTCTATTACGTAGATTTAGATTAGAGTTTTTTTATTGATTCTGTAACATAATTTCTATAATAGTCTCAAATTATGTTAAAAAAAATATTTGTTTAAAAAAACTTAATTATAAAATTTCTTTGATTCATGTAAAAGTTGTCTTATTTTTCATTCCTATTTCTATAATAAATAGAAAGAAAGTTTATAGATTTGATTTAATTGATGCTAATTAATGAAATTATAAAAATTTCATCTAAGAAATAAATTTAGTAATTGCGTAAGTCACTGTTTGCATTGAAATATAACCAGTTTTTACATGCTGCATATTTGAAAACTTTCTATTTAACTAAGAAATTAAATATGAGATTGATCTGTTTCTAAGAAATTAATTATGAGATTGATCTCTTTCTTCTTTTTTTCAATTCAGTTTTGATTTCTTTCATAAATTGAATCTTTTTTTAAATTATTATTTTCACATTATATTGAATGTAAGTTCTAGAATTGAACAATTTTAATCGAAAAATTTCTAATAGAATCAATTAACGTTTGAAGAATTTGATATCTCAGGAAGTGTTTTAGTAATGTTTTCTCTCAATTACGTAAAACGATGTGTTTCTTTATGTGTGTTTCATAACCAGTTTTTACAATATTTGACAATTAAATTAATTAAATGTTTCAATTAATCAAAATTTTCATTTTTCAATCTCATTTTCATATTACAATTATTGTTCATTTTTGGTGTGAATGAAGATTTTCTAATAAAATATAAAAGTTTCAACTTATTTTCTTATACTGAAAGTGGCAATATTTGAAATTGTTTTAGTAATATTTTCTCTGAATTACGTAAATCATTGTTTTTATTGAGACAAAGCCAATTTGTGTTCATTGATTATTTGAAAACGTTTAGTTTATGAGCTGAAGACATAATTATGAGAACAATTTTACTAAAAGTTCTATAAAATTTTCGTTTTTCATTCTTATTTTCACATTAACATTGATTCTAAAATTGATTTCTAGATTTAAAGTATAATTTATTAAAAATAAAAGTTTATTCATTATTGATTTAGTAATGTTTTCACCTGATTATGTAAATGTAATTTTCTCTTAATTATGTAAAATTTTAATAGAATATAACCAGTTTTTATTCGTTGCATATCTGGAAACGTCTAAACTCCAAACTAATGACTTAATTATAAGATTAAACTGTTATTTTATTATATATTAATATGAATATAATTACAAATTTGAATTAAGTAATTTTTTTCATATTACATTGATTTTAAGTTGTAGATTTTAATAATAATTGAATGAAATTTCTATCTGAAAGTGAGAATTTACTGAAAAAACAGATTTAATTGTAATTTTATTAAAAAATAACAGACTTTAAATGTTTAAATTATGCTGATTTTCTATATTACAGTGATTCTAAGTTATATATTTTAATGATAATTGAATCAAATTAGTAAATTAAAGTGTGAATTGCTTAGAAACGAGATTTAATTGTAATTTTGTTGAACATTAATATGAATCTAATATAGAAGATTAAATTTAACAGATTTATCATATTGTTTGTTTGATTCCAAGTTATAGATTTTAATGATAATTTTATATAATTTGTAAATCTAATGTATGTTCTAATTAAGTAGATTTTCATATTATGTTGATTCTAAGTTGTAGATTTTGACTATGATTGAATTTTGATTATACGTTGTATATTTTTGATGTTTAGAACCCAAAGAACTGCGTGTAGTATGCTACTACACGAATTGGTCGGTCTACAGGCCGGGTTCGGCCAAATTCAATCCACAGAACATAAACCCATACCTGTGCACGCATTTGATCTACGCTTTCGGAGGATTCACGAAAGAGAACACCCTGAAACCGTTTGATAAATATCAGGATATAGAGAAAGGTGAGCTTCATCTATTACAACAAAGACTAATCAATAATAACAACAAACATTTACTCAAGGTGGTTACGCCAAGTTCACCGGTCTGAAGACGTACAACAAGCAGCTGAAGACGATGCTCGCCATCGGCGGATGGAACGAAGGATCCACCAGATTCTCACCGATGGTCGCAAGTGCGGACAGAAGGAAGGAATTGGTCAGAAACGTGGTGAAATTCTTGAGGCAGAATCACTTCGACGGTTTGGATTTGGATTGGGAGTACCCGAGTTTCAGGGATGGCGGCAAGACGAGGGATCGCGACAACTACGCAAATCTCGTTCAGGTAATAAATTGAAAAATAATTAAAAGTAAATTTGTAATTAATATATGTTCATTTCTTAAAGGAATTACGCGAAGAGTTCGATCGTGAATCGCAGAAAACCGGAAGACCGAGATTGCTGTTAACCATGGCTGTGCCCGCTGGTATCGAGTACATCAACAAAGGATACGACGTGCCGAAGCTGATGAAGTAAATTGTAAATTGAAACAGCAAATTTCAGTTGCTAATGTTATTGTTGATTGCAGGTACTTGGATTGGATGAACATCTTGAGTTACGATTATCATTCGGCCTTCGAGCCTTCGGTGAACCATCACGCTCCTCTTTTCCCGCTCGAGGAGGAATCCGAATACAATTACGACACGGAACTGAACATCGTAAGAACTAGTTTTCTCTTTGTATTCAATTTGATTAATTCAATTTGTTCTAGGATCATACTATTAAACATTACATGGAAGCCGGTGCGATTGGAAACAAATTGGTTTTGGGTATTCCGACGTACGGACGTTCCTACACTTTATTCAATCCGGATGCGAATGAGATCGGTGATCCGGCCGATGGACCAGGAGAAATGGGAGATGCGACGAGGGAAAATGGTTATTTGGCTTACTACGAGGTACGTGTTTAATTTAAAAGTAAATTACTTGATTATTTATTGCTTTATCTTTGATTTTAGATTTGTGAGAGCGTGAAGAGCGACGAATGGACCGTGGTTCAACCGAACGAAGACGCGATGGGTCCGTACGCTTTCAGAGATAACCAGTGGGTCGGTTACGATGATGAGGCTATTGTCAGGAAGAAGGCCAAATACGTTGCAGACAATGGACTCGGCGGTATCATGTTCTGGGCCATCGACAACGACGATTTCCGTGGAACTTGCCACAACAAATCCTTCCCCATCATCGAGGCGGCCAAAGAAGCTTTGATCGATTCCTTAGGGTAAACTCAATTGATCAAAAGAAGTAACACAATCTGATTTGCAAATTTCCTTTTAAGTTTGGTCGATGAAAACAGCATCAAGAAGAACACGATTGGTAAGAAGCAGCAGGCGACGAGGAGACCTAGCGGTAATTCGCGTAGGAGGTTGAATAACAGAAGGACGACGACCTCGACCACTACGACGACTACAACAACGGAGGCCACCAAAGCCACCCGCCGACGCAGACCGACCAAAAAGAAGACCAGGATCAGCAACGACGTCGTTGAGCCAGAATACAAAGAGTCAGGAAGCAGTTTAGTCGTAACGCCGAACTGGAAGACGCCAGAACCACCAACCACTCCGGATCCAGGCGGCGGTAAACACACACAAAAAAAAACAATAAAGAAACAATAACTAATAACAATACAATTCAACAGATTTCAAATGCGAAGACGAAGGTTTTTACCCGCATCCAAGGGATTGCAAGAAGTACTTCTGGTGCTTGAACGGTCCATCCGATTTAGGAATTATAGCCCATCAATTCAACTGCCCCGCCGGTAATTCATTCACGACACTCAATAATAAAGAAACGAAATGTTAAATAATCTACTGCTCTTAGGTTTGTACTTCAACAAGGCCGCATCGTCGTGCGATTACACCCAGAACGTGCTTTGCAACAAGAAGATTCAAAAAGCCGCAACCACATCCACTCCTTACACGAAAGAAGCGAAAACCACCTCAACCACCGAATACAAATCTCTGTTCACCACTCCTCGAGTTCCTCCCAAGATCACGGCTGCAACCAGCAGAACCACGTACCAATCGACAACTGCAGAACCAGAATACGAAGTAATTTTCGAGATTCTTAATTAAATTAATTTCTCTAATACTTTTCCATTGTAATTTCAGGATGAATACGAATACGAAGACGACGTTGAAGATGCCAACAACGATTCCGAAGATCCCGCTCTCATTAAAGAGTTATTGGATCTCATCAAGAAAGCGGGAGGTGTTGAGCAATTGGAGAAGCAGTTTAAATTCAAAGATAGTCCTCAAACCTCATCCTCGTCAGGATCCACGACTCCTTCGTCGATCAGCAAAAAGCTGTACGAGCGTGTCCTCAGTAGAACCAAATTAATCGAAGCATCAAGCGAAAGGAACAAGTAATTATTTTAATTGGTAATTTGATGAAACTTAATGTTAATGTAATCTTGTAGATTCCAAACAACTAATAGGAACAGTAGAGGACCGCAGTATAAGGAAGTAGAAGGCGATTCAGAGAAGAAGACTGTTAAATCTAATAGCAGGTTGCAGTACTCCACCATCTCAAGAAAAAGACCATCCAAGCCGGAACCCGAAGATGATGATGAGGATGAAGACGAAGAAGTTGAGGAAGAGGAGAACGAAAAGGTAGTTAAAGCCAAGAAAGAGGATAAACCAAAATATGTTACTTTACGAAGAAACAGACCATCGACAACCGAATCCACCGTCGCCGAAGAAGACGAAATTGAGGAAGACAACAAGTAATTATAGCTTTAATCACTATAAACGTAATTTACTAATTAATTAATTTTGTTGCAGCAAAACTAATCAAAAGAGAAACCGGTTTTCCACCACTTCCAGCTCAGTCGATAGTAATTCAGGGTAAGTCTAGTTATTGATTATATGCGTTCCAAAATATTAATTGCAATCATTTTAGGAAATTCATAAGACGAGGTCGGACTTCAACAACCGAAACGCCTGAGGATGAAGAAGAAGATGAAGAGAAACCCGAAGAGGAAGTTGTCAGAAAGTATTCATTATCATTAATTTAAATGATTGAAACATTTAGTAATTAATCTTCGTGTTTTAGGAGACCCACAACGACCACTCGTTCTCCTTATGTAACTTTGAAAAGATCAAGACCGACGACTGAAGCTATCTCCAAAGCGGAAGAAAACGAAGCTAAAGAAGATGATTCCGGTGATTTCAATAGGTGAGATATTTAATTTACCTTATAATGTTTATATCATTTACGTTTTGATTCCAGGAAATTCTTAGGAGAAAATCAAGAAGATAAAGAGGACAACGATGCAAAAGGTTCTCCAAATTATATCACATTACGTAGAAATAGACCCAAGTTTGGTGAATCTGCAACAACCAAGTAAATTATTAATATGATTACTCTAAATGAAACGGTTAATAACAATATAATTAAATTTTAGGAAAACTTTGGAGGAGAATCAAAACGATGAAGATGAGAATAAAGAGAAGGGTTCGCAACCGGAGTACACGACTTTACGAAGAACCCGACCAAAGTTTGGTGAATCAACAACTGCAAAGTAAATACACGTGCTTTTTGTAATACACGATTTTAACAATTGTGATCTTGCAGAAATACTTTAGGTGAGGATGAAAAGGATAGCGGTGATGATGAGAAGAATTCCTCAGGTTACGTTACCTTGCGTAGAAACCGACCAGGCCTTGCTGAAACTACGACTACAAAGTAAATAGAATTGTTGTTTAATTCGTTATGTGTTTTATAACAATTTATTGAATTACAGGAACATTTTCGAGGAAAACCAAGAAGATGAAGAAATTAAGGAAAAGAGTAAACAAGTTTACACTACCACAAAAAGGACACGACCAAAGTTTGGTGAATCTTCGACGGTGAAGTAAGTTTAGTTAAAAAATAGTTAATGGATTGATTAATTTAATTTGATTGAAATTACAGAAATACCTTAGGAGATAATCAGAAGGATGATGATGATGAGAATATCGCTTTAAGTAAAAAGAGACCAAATCTTTCTGAAACTGCAAAGTAATTATTATTTTTCTTTGTTTTGTGTGTAATTTTATTAATTTTAAATCAAATTGTAGGAAGAATGATGATGATACTGTGAGCAGTTCACCAAAGTACAATTCGTTGCGTAGGATTCGACCAAATCTTGCTGAATCAACAACTTCAAAGTAAATGCAAATACTGTTAATTAGTGCTATGGTTACTAACTAATTGGATTTCAGGAAATCGTTGGATGATGATCAAATTGATGATGATGATGATAATTCTCCAAATTACAGCACTTTGCGTAAGAACAGACCAAACTTCGATGAATCTACGACTGCTAAGTAAATGCGTTGTTATTTGATGGTTTCGTGTATATTAATTCGTCTTCAGTTCCAGATACAAAGAGATTCAACGTGGAACGACTCAAACTGCGAGCACGGAAAGCGTGATCGTCTCCACGAATCCACCGGAACCGGAAGCGCCGCAAACCGAATCTAACAATATATTTAAGGACGAGACTAATATCGATTTAACAACTCCACAATCGCCGGTGGGCGAGTTCATTTCAATAACAACATCTAAATTAGAAATAACTCCACCCCAGCTATTGGAACCCAGGCCTTTCTCCATCAACACTAACGTTATTTCAACAACTGTTAAATCGCCATCAACGACATCCGCTACTACCACTTTCTCTACAACATCAACAACAACAACTACTACCACCACTACCGCCGCGCCACCATCGACCACTCAAACAGTAACAACAGCGTCAAAGGTGAGTTATAAACCTCTGTTAAGAACACGACCGGTAGCAGCACAAAAACCTTCTTTACCAATTAACAACAACACCAACGACACCGCACGTCAAACAATCAAAAGCCGCACCGAATCTAGAGGTTTCTCGCGATTCCGTCGTCCGGAATCCGCTGCATCGAAGCAACCGGAAGAGACGGGACGTCTCAGGACCACCGCCTCTTCTGACGTCGAAGAATCTTCGTCGTCACCGGAATCGCGTGGCTACAACAGATTCCGAACCAGACCGGAAACGACTACCAGGCAACAAGACATACCGGAACGTCATTTCAGACCGGAAGACGCCGCCGCCTTCGCCGATTTATCTAGTTTAACAGCAGTAGACTTTTCGTCAATTAAAGACTTTTCCGGCGGAGCCAGACGCTCCAGGACGAGACTCACCACGGCCGCGTCCTCAACAACAATAACAACAGCAACGGAAGAAACTATTAAAACAGGACCTCGCACCTTGACCGTAGCCAGGAAATACTTGGAAAGTTCGCTACCTGCAACCAACAAGAGACGCGTCATCAAGAAAGTACCGGAACCGGAACCGGAAGAGAATGTGAAAGTAGAGGAACGTCCCAAGCCCGCTTTCAACGCTAGGCCCAATTTTAAATCCCCGAGACTCTTCACGCGTCCCACAATAACCACAACAACAGCCAAAAGCGAAGAAATATCTGAAACTCCTGTAAGAAAAACCTCCAACGATAATCTGTTTAAACCCAAACGCACGAAACTATTCGGTGGAAACAACTTCTCTAAAATCAACACGGAAAGTTCTAAACCGTCAATCGACGAAGATACTCCCAAACCGGTAGCTCCCTTAAGAAAAACCATTAACGATAATCTTTTTAAACCCAAACGCAACAAATTATTCGAAAGCAAATTTCCTAAAGTAAACAACGAAAGTACCGAAGAACCTAAGAAATCAATCGAAGAAACTCCCGAAACAGAAGCTCCGAAAGTAAATGACTTCCCACAAGTTTCAATCGAAACTACCGAAAGTCCTAAAGTAGAAATTGAAGACGAAACTCCTAAAACCGATTCTCCAGTAACTGAAACTTTAAACGAAGATTTCCTCGAAGCTAAGCAGAGTGAAAATAATCTCGCCGAAGAAACCACTTTTAGTATTAAAGATGACTCAACAATTGAAACGGAATCACCCTTGAAGACAACTATTTTTAACGATGATCAACTCAATGAAAATGATTCTAACTTATTTGATAATGTAGTTACCGACAAAAACCTTGATTATTCAACGAAATCCTTAATAGAAGAAACTCCTGTAACTGAGGTTCCACTTACAAAAGATACAAATGAACCAAATTTATCAGAAGATACGTTTACTACAATAACGGCTGAACCTGTAACAACAACAACCACCACCACTGAACATCCAACATCGCCAATCCAAGAACAAACTGAAGGTGTTACCATCAGAAAACTATCTTTCAAGACTAAACCGATTTCCATCAAAGACGCTCATTTGAATAATACAGGTACGAAGTCGGTTTCTACCACTATCGAAGATGAAAATTCTCTTGAACAAAATGAAAATGATTTAACTACAACAGAAAATGCGAAGAGGTTAAAGGAGCAAAGCACAACTCCGAGGAGATTCATTAAAATAATTAATGTGAAATCTAGATCTAATTTGGAAGATAACGATGAGCCACGTAAAATCGAAGTTAACTTTAGGCCAACCAACAGAAGAGTCATCAAAAGGTTGAGGTTAGCCTCACCTCATTTACCAGGAGATGCAAGCAGAAGATTAATCTACTCAACACCAATTCCTTATCTGAGTCCCATAACTGAGTACGAAGAAATTGTTGAGAATAAGGCTTATGAAGAGGAAGACGAGAATATCAAATTGTCTGAGAGTAATATTTTGGAGAACAGCGATGTGAGCAGAGTAAACAGTAATTCTATTAAAGCCGATGGCGAGAAAGGATACACGAAAGTTATAAAGAGGATAAGACCAGGTTTTAAACCTCAAAATCGTTTTGAAGATAGAAAAACAACTACAACGACGACTACAACCACAACTACCGAACCTAATATTGTGGTGAGAACCAGAAAGATTATTAGGAAATTGAGCACGACAACTGCGTATGCACCAACTATTTCTGAAGTTACGACTTCTGCCAGACCGTTGCTTTACAAATTAGCAGAATCCGATGATGCTTTGGCAAATAGGAAACGCAAAATTATCCGTCGTCTTCGGCCATACACCTTGTTTGAAGGTAGATCTTCTACAACGGAGAAGGTTGTGGAAGAATCAGATGTAGATGACGTAGATGAAGTTACCACTGTCAACTCTCAGAACACGAATGATGAAATTGATGATACGACTAATGTTTCGAGCACTTTAGAGCTTACAACGATTGCGGTAAACAAGTATACTTTGGAAGCTGCTTCCACTCAGACAAGTGACGTTACTGAAGAAACTACAGCTCGCAATGAAATAACTAGTACTGAAGGTAATTATTATACAACTGACGAAGAAGCTTCCACAGAGAGACAGTTTGAAACTACGTATTCGTACGATGATGATGATGATTCGAATGATGTTGAAAGTACAACTGAATTATTACCTTATGAGACAACAGAATATGCGGGAGAAACAACCACCGATTTTGACTTTACGACGGTCCCCGAACCGACGGAGCCAAGGCCCACTTACGTGAATAAGATATTCAAAAAAGCGCAGAACAGGCCGAAACTGAATCTAAATCTGAAGCAACTGCAGAAGAGCAATTCGTTAGCTTCGAGCACGGAATCCTCGCTGTCAAGGCCAAAATCTCGTTTCGAAAGCTACTCAAGACGTCCGGTGGGAGGTCGATTCAAACCGTTGGCTAATCAAGGTAAACCAGAAGAAACGCACGACGTCGGTCACGGTACGATTAAACCGTTCAAGAAAACATTCAGGACGAGTCCGAAAGTCTTCAGCAGAAGAAAACCGATCAAGAATACTTTTACCCCAAGGTATCAAACAACAACCGAAGAAGTAAATGAAGATGATTACAGCACGGAATACGATTACAGCGAAGAGGACGATGAGGAGGAACGTGTTGATGATGATGATGATGATGAGGAAGAGGTGGTGGATGATGATGAAAACAAAGAAGAAGTGTTGAATGTTGTAGCGCCGGTTATTAGAACAACGGAGACTGCTAAAACCAGGAAAGCGAATGTTCCGTATGATACGAGCACCCAACATACGACCAAAGCTTATAAGAGATTCACAAGTACGACTCCGTTGAGCGTGACTCAAGATTTGGGTGATATAAATTTGGATGCGCTGAACGAGAGGAACAAAAAGCTGTTCAAGACGAGGAAAATGAACGTGCCGCATCCTGGAACGACCGAGGCCAAGGAGCTTGATACAACTCCAGGTTCGACGGCATCTGCAACTGAATCAGCGTTAACCACCGATGAGATCCTTGAAACGACATCGGAAATGGATGTGAAAACAACAATTGAATTTGATGCAACGACCGCGGGAAGCGACACAACGATTACAGATGATACAACAATGACGACGATGGGAACCGAAAAGATCATTACTGAACTTGAAGCAACGACGAACGTGGAAACTGAGAAACCTATTATTGAACTTGACATGACGACGGTTTCCACGGAAACACCTGAACTTGAAACGACTACAATGGAAGTCAAGGAGCCGACGACGGAGATGGAAACAACCACAATCGGTGTGGAGAAGCCTACGACGGAGATGGAAACGACCACAGTCGGCGTGGAGAAGCCTACGACGGAGATGGAAACTACTACGGTGAAAACGGAAAAACCGACCACCTTGCACCACATATTCGCTCAGACGGAATCGCTGCAAACGACAACCGCAACGCCGGAACCCGTCGAGGAGCTGGGTACCGAAGAGGAACCGAAAAGCGTCAAGTTGGAGAGATTGATTGAGATCAACAGGATCGTTGAGATCAACGGGGAGAAGGTGAACGAGCGCGATCATCTTGGAGTAGTAAACCGAGTGACGGAGATCAAAGTCGTCGATGGAAACAATACGGAAGTTCGCAAAACCAAGATCATCATCGACGGACCAAACATATTAACGGAAATCCTGAATTCCAACCGTCAAGATAGAAAGTACGAGTTCAACTTGAAGACGAACGTGGACGAGCAGTCGGTCGACGTGATCCCGAACCAAATCTCCATAGAAGGCAAATCGAACGTTAGAACCATAACGCCGAGACCGCTCTTCAGCAACGAAGTATCCACCATCTCCCTGGAAGGTCTCTTCAGGACGAATTCTCCGAGCACCGCCGCTTACGAAGAGATCCTCGATGCGGATCACAGCAGAATAGTGAACGTTAGATATCCTGCAATGTTCATCCCAATCCCTGAAGGCGACGTGGCGATGCGCGCCAAGATCGTCGAAATCAAACCCAGCGAAGCTGACTTAATAAAAATTGCCCCGATCGCGGTTAGCCTTTCCAAGAAGAATTGAAATTGAAAGTACATTTCGTAGAAGGAATCACTCGAAAATGCTAGTCAAACCAAAATAGTTATTAATTTTATTCCTCTCTAATTATTTTTTTTAACGAACCAATTTTATCCACAGAAATTTAGCACCGAGGGCTGTATTCGTTTTTAATTGTTTGTGTCTTTATTTTAACAATGTATTTGTACTTGTAATCTTAATTCTTACTAAACCTGTTTTTTTTAAATTGTTTGTTTCTCCACGTCGTGTTATAACCATACAAAAAAAAGCAGAAGGAAATAAGATTGAAAATAAAGCGAGCTCCTTTCATTGTTGCGTAACAACTGCATGTGTAGTGTAACTGTATCGATTTTGTTGTGTAATGTAACGTAAATGTTTCATTCTTTTTAAGTGTATAGTATTTTATTTTGATTAATTTTCTTTTTCAAGCTCTAAATGTTCTTTTTACTTTAGTGCCATTTTTTGTTTTTGTGTGCGTTAATTAAATTATTCTCTTTGTACTATTATTTTTGTTTAATATACTGTTATGTGTAATAATAATAATAATCGTACTTTTTAATCCTCTAATTTCTATTATTTTGTTTGTAAAATATTTATGTAAAATATATAGTTTCTATTAGAAAACTTCCTCTCTTTATTTATTTGTTTACTTCATATTCATTATTTCACGATACAAAAACGATAAAATAAATACCATTTGCGCGCAATCACTTTCACTTCTCTGAGCCACCTCTGAGGATGAGTCAAAATACCAAGAGGCATGACCTTGAAAAATAAAACATGCAGATGAAGGACAATTTCAGACAATGTGTACATAACAAATTACGCAATTCTATCGGGTGCTGTCAATGCAATTGGACTGATTACGTTTTATTCTTGTTGTAGACTCCGAGTCGGAGGTTCAGGCCCAAATTCCGACCTCAAGCGACGACGTCCACGACGGCTGCACCTTCGACCGCCTCGCAGCGCGGTCCCAGCACGACTCGAAGGAATCTGAGACCAAGGCTCTCCTCCACCATCCGTCCCTCCACTCCAGCAATTGAAAGTAAAGGTAAGTGGTGTTTCTATAATCGATGCAAAAAAAAAAGAGTATGTATGTATATATATTAAAAAAAAATGAATGTTTGCATATTTCTCATTATCATAAATGGAAAGAATGAAGCAAATGAACAATCCCAGTTGTGCATGACCTTCGCGGTTTCCTGAAGCGTGAAACAATTAGCCAAAAACTCGAGTGAAATTCTGGGACACTCCGAATTTCACTTTCAATGCTAAAACATTGACGGTCTACTGATGATAATCTAGAATTTTTGTTTTGGATATTCCTGATGCATCTGCTTCATTTCCAAAAATAAATGTTTAAAATATTTGTCGAGAAAACGACAATCTAATATTGAATAACTTACTTTATAATAGTGAAACATTAGTAGGATCAATTTCTTGTTCCAATAGTATCAATATCCGAGATCTTTTACTCATGTATATTACACTTTATTTAACATTCGTATTTTCGATAAAATATAAAATGTTTATGTGATTTTACTATTAATTGTAGCCGAAGAACTTGGCCAAAGTAGGAACGGACAAGAAAAATACGCTTGTAAACCAATCAGAGCATATCTAGAATATTTTCTAGCATGAAGATATACAAGAACTTGTAAGAAATGAAACGTGTCTCCTTTTCATCTTACTACAGTAAAATGTTGTTATTCCAATAGTGTCAAATGGGACACTCATCCACGATAGTTGTTGCTTAACTTTTTGTGATCAACATACATACATCAAGTTAATAAACCGTAATAAAATTGAGTTATTTCTAAAAAGAAGACAATTTAAATTATATTAAAGTAATGACAAAAGAAAGTTCTTATATCAAAATATCGTTTAGATTCAAGTACCTCGCTTAACGAGCAAAATGAATTGTACGAAAAATGACTCGCTTAACGAGCGATGTTTCGCATAACGAGTGACGATGAGAAGGGAAGTCCCGGATTGCGCGCCTGCTACATCATTTTTAAAACTTGTGTACACATATTATGTGTATTTTGAATATACAGAGAACCTCGCTTAAAGAGCATTTCGTTTAACGAGCAAAATTAATTGAAAAAAAAAATGACTCGCTTAACGAGCGACGTTTCACATAACGAGTGACGATAAGAAGAGAAATCCGGAATTACGCGCCTGCTATATCACATATGTGTATTTTTGAATATGTTTCACTATAGGAGTAAAAATCTGGAAATTTTGGGACGGATTAAACTCGTTAAGCGTGGTTCCACTGTAATTATGTTCAACCCAAAATGTATAGTAAATACATTGAATGCAACCATAAAACTAATTAATACCAATTAAACCAAATAAAGTGCTCCAATTCCTCATTGCGTAAAAAAAAACAAGAACAAGACTCGAATCGGAAAGTTGTTGGAAACATTATTTAACCCTCTTTTACCATAACATCGAGTGTACATTCAACCACTTTCTCATTTCACATTTACGCGTTGCTTTTTAAGCTTTCAGTGTGACATGTCTCAAAAGAAATGAGTGATTGAAAAATATGTATAATTAAAAATAAACAATGTTGCTTTTAAACTGCGATATGCACTTTCACCAATCAATTTGCAAATGTCTTGTATTTATTTTCTTGCAAACGACCGTTGTTCTTTTCCGTCTTTGCAATCTGTGACAAGTATTAATTGCAAAGAAGTAAAAGTCATGAAGTTTATTGAAGATGCTTAGAAAGATTATTTCATTTTATTATCAATTGTGAAATTTAAATTACGTAACGTTTACTGTTAAATAATAAAGTGCATACGTTTAAGAGAGAAATTGAAAAAAAAAAAACAAATAATTTAGAGAGTGAACAAGGAAAGTTGATGAACAGCATTGACAGATGCGTAATGAGATAATTACTTTTTACGTTTAAACCAAACTTGTAGTAACTTTCATTAATATCAGTTGCATCATTTATGTACTGTAAAATGAAAATATATTCAGATAAAAAATAGCACAATTAAGACTATTAGAGTCTAAGTTTATACTTTTTTTTTTCGTTCTGGACAAACATCCTTCGTTTCAAAATGTTCTAACGAAACCAATAACTTGGTACTTGGCAAGTAAATGATCATGTGAAAACGGAACATCGTGCGGAATTTAAACATAATACAAAAGTATGCGTATTTACTAAGATTTATATTTAGTAAAATGTATAGAGAATCTTGTATTTTGCATTTATTGTCTACACACTCATTCATAACGTTGTTAAGGAACTGTTATTATAGAAAGTATATAATTATAATATTAAAAAAAAACTAATCGATAGTTAAGTAGTTATTGAATAATGTACGTGTTGTTTCAGTGGAAACCAGAAGACCTACGCGGATTAGCGTAAGAAAACACCTTGCGACAACGAAATCAACACTCCAAAACGAACTCGAAGATCAGGATCAAGAAGAATCGACCGAAAGAAACACAAACACCAGCGCCGAAACGACAGAACTCGTTGAACTCGCATTGGCGTTACAAACGATCCAACAAGCACCGATCCGATCATCCACTCCGAGTTTCAGACAATCATCGACAACTCCTTATTCTCCATCGACGCGAAGACCAGTCTTCAGAGGAAACAGAGGTTCGAATCAAACAATTGCAACATAGAAGAATCACATAACGAAATATTAATCATTTCAGACCGGTTCAGCCAAAGACCAAAGATTTCCAGCACCACAGTTTCACCAGTCTTGACGACGCGCAGGATTGTGAGGAAGCAGAGACCGATTGAACCGTTCCAGAAGAAGGTTACCGCGTACACCTACAAACCAATCGGCGATTACGATTATTACGATGACGGCGTATCCAGAATAGTCGGAGCGATACCGGAGCACAGCAAGGTGCTCATTCACAGTTCCGGGGTGATCCAGTGCTTGGATCAAGGTAACTTCCCGCATCCGGTCAGTTGCAAGAAGTTCATCTCGTGCGCGAAGATGGAGAACGGAAACGTTCTAGGATGGGAGTACACCTGTCCGAAGAACCTGAGCTTCGATCCTGTGGGTGGAATTTGCAATTGGTCCTCAGGTTTAGGATGCAACGAATAATATTGTTTTTTTTTTTGGCTGCGAAAATACGTGTAATTTATGGTCAGTTAATACGTACTTCATCTATTTATTTAAATGTGTATAAAACTGATTTCTGTTTTTTTCATTAATTAATTTTGTAAATAATATCTACTTTTTATATTATTATTATTATTAAACTCATTCATTTATTCTACTATTTTTTTTTTGTGAACTCTCATGGTACGTTTTATTATATAACATGTGATATTAATAAACTTTATTCCATTGTGAAACGCCTGCGATTTCGTAAACAAAAAAAAAGTTATTTATTCATTTTATATACAACGACAGACAGAAGAAACAAAACATCGGCACATATATATATATATTTAACACATCTTCACTTTTCTCTCCAACAACTCGCAGTTATATCACACTTCAATTTTGTTTTTACGACGGATAAACAACAACATTCCCGCATTCGTTACTCATTAATTAGTATATAGCAAAAATATATATGTGAAATCAAAAAACAAAAAAATACGAGGAATGATTCGATAATTAATTAATTAATTAAAGCATATTAATCTATGTGTTTGAGCCGCAGCAACTCTTCGTTTGATTCTCTACTTGCTCGTCGTCAACAACTACCACATTCTTCCTGTGATTGGAACCTTGTCTGGTCACCTGCAGATCCTCTATCTCGCGTTCCCTTTGCAACATCTTATCAATTAAAGTCAAGAACATCTCCTCGATACCCTCGTTACGTTTGGCAGAAGTCTGCCAGTGCAGTGCACCCACTTTGCTCGCGTATCTACAAATTAAAAGTACATTAACATTGCTTCATAGTGAAGACCGTGCGAATATTCTTGATAATTACGTTTCGGCTTCCTCTAAATTAACGTGCCTATCCTTTTCTAAATCAGTCTTATTCCCAACGATGACCAGGGAGACATCGCTGCCCAGCATTTTCCTGAGCTCCTTCACCCAACTCTTCACCTTGACTAAGGAATCCTCGTCCGTAATATCGTATACTATTATAGCCCCGTTCGAAGATCTGTAGTATAGTGGACCCAGCGCATGGAATTGCTCCTGCCCTGCAGTGTCCCATATGGCCAAATTGACTCGTTTTCCATCGATGTTCAATTTCTTGTTCAAAAAGGATGCCTACAATAAAATAAATATATTTATAATTTTGTGAACTTCAAGTTAATTTATAAACAATATCTGATAATTCAATACAAAAGTGTTTACAGAATATTGACAAATATGTTATTGAGTATAATTAAATCAATAACTCATTATACTTCATGTAGACAATAGATAACAAAATTCTACTTTAAACTTATGACTGATAATAGCAAAATATTTAGTAGAAACATGAAAATTGAACATAAACAAATATTGATAGAAAAACTATCTTAAACTATCTTCCTAAAATAATAAGATTGAAAAGCAAAATTAAACTACAATGATTACATAAAGTTAGAGCTGTTTTTACACAATAGTGACAGATTATTATAAAAATTATCCAATAAATAATTTGACAGCTGATTCCACTAAGTGGTAAATGATTATAAAGAAGCAAATAATAGATATAATTGTTATTAAAAGAGAATTGAAATAAAAAATTATTGGGATTAACAATACAATTTGCTTTGCGAGTAACTTAATAAACCTGTTACACAATTGTTACAGATAACAGGTTATTATGAATGATTCAGTAAATATATATGAAATGACCAAAAGATATCAAAGGTCTGATGATATATAAATGACAGTATCATTGAGAATAGCAAATTACATGGACAATTAGTAAATACAAGTAAATAAGAGATAAATAAAAGTTGATAGAAAGAGAGTATAACCTGTATAGTGCTGAGATGATCATTGTTGAATTTATCCTCGGCGTACCTCAAGACGATGCTCGTCTTTCCGACGCAACCCTTTCCCAATAGGACGACCTTAAAATTATGCACTGTCGTTGCCATGATTCAACATCTTCTATTGTAAATAAACTAGATTTCTTATAATCAAATCCTCTGTATATAGAGATTCTCACGGAGTCGCCGTCGCTGTCATGTCAAATGCATTGTTGGTAATCAGCTGTTTTTGACAGGGATTGAATGGTAAGAGGACGTTCCGCTAGGTGGCTGCCCGAGTTACCGAACATTTTTAAACGTACAAAATATCCTTGGACATATAGAAAACCAAAAGTCGAAGAACTGATCCATCTAATACCAGATTCCTCGATAAGACTGCGAAATTAAGATCGTTTCATTGAGGTATCCGAATTTGAAAACGCATCCGGCCGCTGGGGTAGCTGTCAATGGTCGCCGGAAATGCTAGTCAAATCAGCAACGCCTTGAACGCACTCTATACGAACCGAAGGGTGTCCGTCGTAGTTTCCACATTGTTAAATATGCAATTGCAGTGGAAATTGTTAATACGTGTGCATTGTTGATGAAACCGCTGGGAAAGCTGGGATGGTGAGTTTTCTGGTTTGCGAGACTGTTGAGACGCATGCGCGACTCCGTTAATCACATATCAGTGTTCCCTGCCATCACCTGTGTTGTATTGGTAAGTTCTTTGTGGTGTTAATTTTGGTGTTTTCTCCGGACATACGAGGCGATTTTGCATGATTCTTAAGGTATTTGATAGTTATTAATGCGGTCAATCGAATAGGACGGGTGTCATGGGGCATCATCGCGTATTTAATTGAGAAACCAGTGTTTTCGTGGTGGCGTCGTGTCGGCTGGTGCATTGAGAGCGTACGTACAGAGCTGTTCAAAAACCTTCTGAATTCGGGGATTCAGGTCAGGGTGGTGGTGGATGGAGTTTGCTGTTGAAGTGTACGTAGATTGAATTGTGTGATGATGTCTCCTGGGTGTCTTCTGTAACGAAAAGCGTGTCAGCGTTTCTCCATGGGCTGCAGGGACCAACGATCACGTAGGCCTCGGCGAGCTTTCACCTAAATTTTCATAACAAGTCGACGGGCCAACATTCAGTTTTTTGTTAATATTTTTATAATTAGATTGATGATTGCCATATTAATGGGATGGACGGTGTTATCGGGTGCATTGTGTAATTTTTAATTTCAACAAAAGCGATGGTGATAACAGCTTTCACTGATAAATTCCAATTGGCGAACGATTGCTAATTCGGTGCATATGCATCTCCTCAGATCGTCTGATTTTTTATATATATATATATATTCTCTCAACTGATGTCGCCTCTCCATTTATATAATATGTTGCATATACGAAACTGGTTCAAGGTGCTGTCGCCAATTGCATTTTCGCCGGTCGCTGGATGGACGTGACGTGTGACCCAAGACGAAGGCATGCATGTTTTACAGCGATGGCGATGCTTTCGACGGCCGTCGACGTGCCATCATCGATCGTGTAACGCGCGTGGACTACCATCCTCTCCAGTCATCTTTTTACACGGTCCCAGCGTTTTTTTTTGTTGCCCGCTCATTCAAAATTCACCCTCCGCAGGGTTGAATGCCCTTCGACTCCATCGTGCATGCGGCCTGAGCACGCGACATACGCACACACACCCGCTTCTCATAATTTTGTATGTACCCCCATGGTAATCAAAGGACGAAGAAGAGAATGCCATGAAGAGTGAAAAGAGAACCTGGACTCTTCTCGCGTCACGGACCTCTTTGGCCTAGGTCATGGCGAATTTCGTATAAACATTGCTTAGCTCGCTGTTTCCATGCGAATTCCGCTTGCTAGGCGCGCTCTCGATTTCCGAACAACGTCTTGCGAAAGAGTCGCGCCACACAAACGCACGAACATCTTGAACTAGAAAATAAAAAGAGCTACCTACCTACCTATTGCAATCATGCATCATTTCAAGTGTACACGCAATCGAATGAAAGTAATGGCCGAATTGTTTTCTAATCTGCGAAGAAAGCAACGAGAGCGTTTGAGAATAAACGGGTATCGCGTGTTCTCGTCGGACTTGTTTACCACTTCGCCACTGACCGAGAGGATCTAAATTTAAAAGGCCGTTTTGATTGCGGCTACGAACGCAGCGTGAAAAACATGTTTATTATTTGCACGCACAATAATACGAAATTTTCAGCACAACTAAATCCTTTTCGCTTAGCTCTACCTCATGTCATCCTTGGGCAACGAGAATCGAGTAAACCTTCACCCGGGACTGCACCCACTAAATTACACCTTCTAATACCTAATTATGTTCCATATGCATTTTGCATGTGAATGCCATGATCTTAACACACTTTAAAACATATGTCGAAGGTTTAACATTTTCAAAGTCGATCATAATAGTTGATTGCTACGTGATTATTCACAGCAAAATGTTTTGATTTGCGCAGATTCGTGTTTATGCAAATTATTTGGAAAGTAAAAAGATCATATTGCCTATTTATAGATTCGCATAAGAGAAAGTTGTGATCCAATTGAATGCAGTGTATCAACACATTGCCAAAGATATTACACAAACTAGCCATGAATTTGACATAGTTATAATTCCAGGTATTCATTATTACTTCATTCATTCAATTCTTTAAAGCAGCGGTCGGGGAACCGGGGTAAATTACCCAAAATGGGGTAAAA